TAGCAAAATACGGCAAATTAAGGTAGATAAAGGTGTCAAAGCTGACTAAGAATTTCAATGGTAATTGGAGTGGAGGCTTTCTTAGGAAGTCATGCTCTGCTTTGCTGTCCCTTAGGAGTCCAATTCCCGTGACTCAAATTGTGGTCAGATGAATGGCAAATATGGCACAAATGAGAAAAGGCACAATTGCTCATTTTGCAGCCGAAAGATGCATTAAAGTTATTGCAAATTTCCTTTCCTTGGTAGAAAACACGTTTTCGGCCAGATCTGTAATGGGATGCTGAGGCTGATGTATTACCAGGGGTATATAAATTAGGCTTCCTGGTGATTGAGGCAAGCTGAGAGCACACTTCGGTTGCATGAGCGACACTACTGCACAGATTGCATGTATTTGCATGGAGCCCTGAGAATATAGTACAGTATAGCGTTGTACCTCAACGAGACCAATCGGCTTTAACATTGTGATATGAAGCAATGCAGCTCTGGCAGAAAAAAAACACACAATGATACTTGTAAAACGCCAGTCCGTTATAACGTTTTGACATGTCCACTATGTCACGTTCATATGCATCTAATTTCCGTTTTCGCTCTGATTAGACATCGGAAATAACATTTTTGTATACCGAAAATGCCAGAATGAATTCCTGAATCGTAAGCGAACAAAATATCCCATTATCTTGCAAGGGTTTCAAAGTAAATGCCTCATCGCCGACGACTATATGTCATTGACCATCGGTGTAACTGTTGCCTGATACTAAGAAACATGCTAGATTTATGTCCTTACCTGCGATAATATCGCATCAAACGGAAGGAAAAACCAGTTCTATGTGTGGCAGCAAGTTGTTCTCAAAAGTAGCACCCCTAGCGTTGATAGCCTGGGAGCCGCCATCTTGAATGTGTTCAAAGGAGTTGTTATGGTGTAACGTCATGGCTTGTTTGTTGACCTCTGACCTTTGGGTGTTTTGCAGTGGTTTGAACTGGTTGGGTCACCAGGTTCACAATCGACGATTGTAACTCCTTTAACATAGCCATTGTAACGACTTGACTCTGGGTTGGCGAATTCATCGCACGTGAAGTGCTTGCAGTTGGTACTTTGGCGTCCTCAACTTGCTGTGGAACCAACGCGTCCCGTTGTGCTGGTAGCGAGATCGTGGTTCCTGAAATGCCCACATTCCTTGTTTCGGCAGCGAGTTGATCCAAAGAATTACGAGTTGCTGCTCTAGTCACTGGTCTGATGTAAGGCTGGACACGGGCTGAGTAGATTTCTTTGCACGTCCACGCCTAGCTGGCATTGTAGATTAATTAAGTAGTGTTCTCGAACAAAGAATGAAATGGACGTAATTGACGATAATGCACTTTGCACTGTAGCATAACAAAAAAACTGAATGAATAAGCGGTAACAATGGAGACAAAAGAAATTTAGGTGATGCTAAGTGTCGTGTGCAAGTGAGAACTGATTGGCTACCAAATGAATTAAGCACTTAATTAAATAGGGTTGCAAAGACTAACTAACAGTGAGCTAAGTGTCTTTACAAAATATATCTGTGACAACACAGATTTCACTTTCTTTTTCAATTCCGCCTATTGACATTCACTTGCATAAAACTACAACCAACACTGTCCAGGGCGCACAACTATACCATGACACTGTCATGTTATTAAATGTACACTTGCACTCTTCAATTGTTATCCTTAATAACATGTCACACTAGTTAGATGCAGTCCCAGTGGATAAAAAGAATTTTGCTAGGATGAGGGTGGAGTTTGTTATATTGATGATTGTTTGGAAAGTCGTCTTTACATATCCTGCATATATTAAGTCCAGACGACGTTTTCTTGCCTTATGCTCTGAATCCCACATTTATCATGTTGATTGTTCTAAATGAGCAATTCGGAATTTACATAAAGATGACATGAATGTACTGAATGAGAAACGCGAACGTGCTAAAAGTGTGACATGGGTGTATTAAATGGGCAACATGAACATGGTAAATTGGTGATATGAACACGGTAAATTGGTGATATAGACATGGTAAATTGGTGATATGAACATGGTAAATTGGTGATATGAGCATGGTTAATTGTTGATATAGATATGGTAAATTGGTGATGTGAACTTGGTTAATTGGTGATATAGACATGGTAAATTGGTGATATGAACATGGTAAATTGGTAGTATGAGCATTGTAAATTGATGATGTGAACATGGTAAATTGGTGATGTGAACATGGTAAATTGGTGATATGAACATGGTAAATTGGTGATATGAACATGGTAAATTGGTGATATGAACATGGTAAATTGGTGATATAGACATGGTAAATTGGTGATGTGAACATGGTAAATTGGTGATGTGAACATGGTAAATTGGTGTTATGAACATGGTTAATTGGTGATATAGACATGGTAAATTGGTGATGTGAACTTGGTAAATTGTTGATATAGACATGGTAAATTGGTGATATGAACATGGTTAATTGGTGATATGAACATGGTTAATTGGTGATATAGACATGGTAAATTGGTGATGTGAACTTGGTAAATTGTTGATATAGACATGGTAAATTGGTGATGTGAACATGGTTAATTGGTGATATAGACATGGTAAATTGGTGATATAAACATGGTAAATTGGTGATGTGAACATGGTTAATTGGTGATATGAACATGGTTAATTGGTGATATGAACATGGTTAATTGGTGATATAGACATGGTAAATTGGTGATGTGAACTTGGTAAATTGTTGATATAGACATGGTAAATTGGTGATATGAGCATGGTAAATTGGTGATGTGAACATGGTAAATTGGTGATATAGACATGGTAAATTAGTGATATAGACATGGTTAATTGGTGATATAGACATGGTAAATTGGTAATATAGACATGGTAAATTGGTGATATGAACATGGTTAATTGTTGACATAGATATGGTAAATTGGTGATGTGAACTTGGTTAATTGGTGATATAGACATGGTAAATTGGTGATGTGAACTTGGTAAATTGTTGATATAGACATGGTAAATTGGTGATATGAACATGGTAAATTGGTGATATAGACATGGTAAATTGGTGATATAGATATGGTAAATTTGTGATATACATGGTGAATTGGTGATATGAACATGGTTAATTGGTGATATAGACATGGTAAATTGGTGATATGAACATGGTGAATTGGTGATATGAACAAGGTAAATTGGTGATATAAACACGGTAAATTGGTGATATAAACACGGTAAATTGGTGATATGAACACGGTCAATTGGTGTTATGAACATGGTTAATTGGTGATATAGACATGGTAAATTGGTGATGTGAACATGGTAAATTGGTGATATAGACATGGTGAATTGGTGATATGAACATGGTTAATTGGTGATATAGACATGGTAAATTGGTGATGTGAACTTGGTAAATTGTTGATATAGACATGGTAAATTTGTGATGTGAACATGGTAAATTGGTGATATGACCATTGTAAATAGGTGATGTGAAAATGGTAAATTGGTGATATAGACATGGTAAATTGGTAATATGAGCATGGTAAATTGGTGTTATGAGCATGGTAAATTGGTGATATGAACATGGTAAATTGGTGATATGAACATGGTAAATTGGTGATATGAACATGGTAAATGGGTGATATGAACATGGTAAATTGGTGATATGAGCATGGTAAATTGGTGTTATGAACATGGTAATTTGGTATATGAACATGGTAAATTGGTATATGAACATGGTAAATTGGTGATATGAACATGGTAAATTGGTAATATGAACATGGTAAATTGGTAAATGAACATGGTAATGTGATGATATGAACATGGTAAATTGGTGATATGAACATGGTAAATTGGTGATATGAACATGGTAACCCGGTAACAATGACGGATGAATGTGTGAACAGATTAGCCAAAAGTTTCACTCTACAGCATTACGAATCACATCTTTAGCATTGGGTCAGATACTGAGATAGACTGTGGTGTCATTCCGTGCTTTGCGTTCAACTCTTAAAATGTAGTTTTCAAATCTGCAACGCTGACAGAGACTCATGAAATATTGTTAAATTATACAAATTACTATTGTGATCCAGGATACTATAACAAGTGGATTGTTATGGCGATTGGTATCACACAGCGCCACATTCACGTAAATGGAAGTTGGTCTACTCAAAATATCGAGGCGTACTTGCCGAGATGCCAGTTTATGTTTATATGTTCGAATATGTGTATATAATTTCCTTAAATTAGGTTCTAATCTCTACCACATAATCATTATACTACTAACAAGCGGCCGTCTTTGGTTTGGTTATATTGAATAATTAACGAAGTGTATATGATCATCTACTAGTATTTTCTGTATATAATATGTCATGGCATGTATGTGTGTTAAGAGTAACATATGGCGTTGCATTGTTTTTATAATCTATATGTCGGCACGAATTCATTTCTGTTTACCCTATGTTGTTTTCAATGAAAATATGTTGATAGTTTGTGACGACAGTAACGATATATCACAGCGTGGCTACACACGTTTTTAATTTCAATTCAATAGTTACCTCGACGTCACATTTGCGCTGCTCGTCTTCCTGTTTATAATGGACCAATGAAATAAGTACATTATTATCAACCTGTCATTCATTTCCTCACGCAATCGCTTCTACAATCACAAACGCTGCCGCACTACATCCACAAACGCTGCCGCATCCACATATTAAGTAAGCTGATGATGATAACCGATTACCGCATACTTGTATTTAATCTCACACAGTCAACTAAAATGCAAATGCAATGAATACAACATGAATGATACAATAACTGATGGGCAGCTTCATCACGTATACACTTGATTTGGTCAGTAACCTGTTTAACACACACCAACAATATGAATCGTTTCAAACATTTATTTCCAGTCATATATTTAATAGCTGTATTAGCTTCATATATTATACTGGACAAACTATATGCGTTGCAACAAGATTATCAACATTCAAACATGCCGCGGAGACGAACAAATCTAATGAGACATATCCAGTTTCCTGTAGATGTGCTCAGATCTATAAATGGCGACGAATTAATACAATATAAACTGAATAATGTGAGAAGCAACGGTCGGAATTATACTATTAATGGATTTACTGTGGTTCAAGATGGGATATTCTGGTCAGAAGAAATTGAGCAAGTATTTCCAAGGGGTATGTTCTTAATGTAGTTTTTTTTTATATTCATATTTTTAAGTAACTATGCATAATTATTGTGTTTAATCGCGTGTGCGTGTGTCTTTATGCGTATATGTGTGTATGTTTATTACGGTTATGTGATCACGGACTACAAGCCTAAAATCATTCTTTCATTTTTAGTTTCGTTTCACATAAGCCATTTTGACCCAGTACTACACAAATTAAATAAATATCACAAGATACCACAAAACTGCAGCCATAAATAGTGCACGATATGTGTGAACGAAAAGCTACGAAATTGAGTATGATATATAAAAGATATCAAATTTGTGACCCTGCAATATCCGATTCATCAAACGAGTGTTACAGTAGTAATTCTCATTTATGAAATGAAAAATACTGCACGCGTTTAACAAATCTGTTATCCTGTTTATCACCGCGTATCTATTTCGTAGCTAAAACAAAGGCTGAAAACAAGGAGTGTAGCAAAACTTTTTATTCAACAACATTAGTACTAACTTGCAGTCAAATCAAACCGTTCCTAAGTCAAATCTCACTTATGTGCTGTATTATATCATACACGCGTTTTAACTGACATCTGAAACAAACATCATTGTTCCTAATAATAATTTAAGAAATATTGTGTAAAACCACCAATTTCCTGCGATACTGGCTTATTTTGCGATAGACACACATGATATCAAAAGGTCAACTTGCTTACACGAACCAATCGAATTGCCGAGATTTGTAGTAACAATATGCAAATTAATACCATGATCGATATATTATTATATTTTGTATTTATTGTATTTATGCAATGTTTATATCAAACTAATCCGGTAATTACAATACACATATCACGTGATTAGCTAAGAATGAATTAAATGTGATTTTGTTGAAATTTAAATGTGCTTTTTGAATCCCAACAGGACCTTCCGTGGAAAGCTTTTATAGCATTTCCTCCAGGATGCAATTTAGTAATTTTAATGTGATCCATATGGATGGACGCTTTTGCGGTGATTGGTCCTCGCCAAATAACGCTAGAGTCACTTTATCTGACGGCACTCGATGGTGTGCTCGTTACAAACCGCCATGCTTCATCTTAGGTGAGAAATGTGGCGTTCATAAGTTATTTAAAATCTGTTTTTTAGATAAGCAATGCACCAGTTCAGTATTTAACCCATGTTTGTACCACCATAGCCAAAAAAAAAAATGGGCCGAGTGATTACGCTCACTTATATTTAGTTCATTATAATTAATATGTATGCACTTACCTTGCAATAAGTCGAACAAGTTGTATGGTAAGAAGTTAACACAAGAAACATGTGTGAAATAGCACCATAATTAATTAGTAGGTGGATATTTTCTGGGTGTAAAAGCCTGTCATGTTGTCAAATATAACGAAATATATAATATTTATTCAGAAGAAAACAATGTGTTGTAATGTGTGTTAATCAATACAGATGAATTGATGGCATATTACTTTTCTTTGATGATGCATATGAATTATATTCCGCCTGTAATTTTAACAAAACCAGACCCGTCCACTCCACAATGGGAATCTGAGTTTGTACATGGTTTTTTAGAAAGAAAAAAATGGGATCCTAATAACATCATAACGATGACGAAATGGATTCCAAATTTGCGTGACAGGTAAGTTAACACAAACGTGTCACGATCAAACGACAGATCTGTTATTTTGTTAAATGCATACAAGTGTATATAGTTTCAATAAAAGTGTTAAGAAAATGGTGATTTAATGATGGAGTATATTGCCTGTTATAACTCAATGTGAACGTATATTTTATTGTATGTTTCTAATAAAGGTATCTTTGCTTTACAAATCAGATTGGTATTAAACATAACGCGTATTGGTGATCGGCTCTTGCATATTGACAATCCAATATTGAAATCCATCACAAAGCGTGAATTATTCCGTTTAATGGTCTTCAGTGACGCCAGTATTTTAGACTATTTGATGGCCGAGTCAAATAGGTTTGTAGCCAACATTATATTTCATTCTATGATGATTATGGACTTGACAGTAAATATATATACAGTAATCAATTAATAATATTGGTAAGTAGTCAACAGACAAAATTTGTATTAACTTTCTTTTTTGCAGAGTGCTGTATTTACATCGAAACAAGTTTGAATATACTGGTGATAACATATGGCTTCACAATCTGTTTTATGACAAAACCAGAAAGCCTTGGATGCTAGACAACGAGATGTCGTTTTTATTAGGACACATTTTTCAGATTCCACCACATGCCCCACTCACCGGAATATTGAAATCTGTTTGTATCTTTCGACGTCAAACTGTGGAAATGGTTTTTAAACTACACGCCCATAAAAATATTCCACGTCTGTTATGGAAAGTGGTGAATGAGCACTTAGGTCCTCTTGATTTTGAATGGAACCCACAAAAACCAACTACGTGTGAATTGTATGATAAGCGATACACCGTTGACTGGGCTAATGCATTTACTGAGAGGATCGAAGAAGCATACATGTGGATTAAGCGCTGTTCTGAGGCTGGATATGAATCACTACTGAATGATATGAAAACATAATATATTCAGTGACGAGAAGTATATCTGAGGACACAGAAAAAATGACGTATGCACGTTGCGATCTGTCTAATTATACTAATTATACATCACAACCTTGCAACGGGTAATTCACACATGTATATTGTCACACGCAACGTAATATTACCGTAATTGGTATAGTACAGGTGTGATGGTTCAAATACCAAAATGGCAACAGTAACAAAAAGACTTCCCTGGCGGCAATGATAAAATACGAACAAGGAGCCAACAGATGAGGTTTCAACTGGTACTGGTATTATTATACTCTGCAAACATCAAGTACAATAACGCGGTAAAACTCCACTACTACAATAACTAGATACTTAAACTCCAATACAATTCAACGAGATCTCCGAACTGATCTCAGTGCTGAACAACTCCCCTATATATACCCACACTGTCTATAAATAGACCATTACATCAGCATACATAATGAGTCTGGAACTTACTACAAATTCCTAGAAAGTTCCATTACCTTCTACAGTGCCCTATTACCTATTCAACCAACTTCTAAAAATTCCACCCAGAC